CGTCATTGTTGTTTTGGCGGCCCTGGGCTAGATTCGAACCTGCCACCTTAGGTGTATGTGGCTGGCACCTTAGCCACTTGAGCCACAGGCACTGAGCCCGGTTATAAAGATTCTTAACTTTTCTCCATAGTTAACACCACCTTTTGTAACTCTGAAGGTAGTTTCTAAGATATCTGCCTCACTCTGGGTTCCAGAGTCTCACTTTGTTGCCCAAGCTAGCAACCTTAAACTCCTAGGGTCAAGCGATCCTCTTAGCTCAGCTGCCCACCATAATGCCTGGCTAGTTTTTCTCTTTTGTTTGTTTATTTAGTAAAGACAGGGGTCTTGCTTTTGCTTAGGCTGGTTTCGGACTCCTGAGCTCAAGCAATCCACCTGCCTTGGTTCCCAGAGTGGAAACTAAGGAACAATGAAAGAAACATAAGCCAGAGTCTTCTCAGATTGGAACATAAACTAACGAAGTGATTCTGTAAAGGAAACACAGGCTGTTTTAGATCTTTGCTCATGTAAAGTTGGAAGTGTACCCATGACTTAGAGGGCATATAGGTAGGGGAAAGAAATACTGAAAATAGAAAGGAGGCTGAGAAGCACCTGAACAGAGTAAGAAAACACTGGTTTGCTGTTCTCTGGTCCGGGTAGGGACAAAAGCTGCCTCCTGCCCTCCTTTGTTTAACCTTTGCTCTATCCTGCTAAGGACGAAGCTTACTCTACAGGGAAGACTCTGCGGGCAGCAGGAACTAGTGAAAGGAAGGGGAGAAAAATAGAGAAAGCAGTGCTTTAGAACTAGTCAAGGGGTGCCTCAGTCAAAAAGACTGCATTTTCCTTCTGGAAATGAGGGGGTGATGTTAGAGGAGAGGAAATACATGAACAAAAACACTTTGTTTTTCTTTGTAGAAATAAACACACACTTCTGAGTGTTGATAGAAATAGGAAATAACTGTATTATTCTCGAACAATTTTAAAGCTTGAGAAGACATTTAGTCGGACTCCATAATTACAGCATTCAGAGCAAGGAAGGAAGACTGCCTAGCTTGAAATGAACACGAGCTGCTCAGTACCTGCCAATGCTGGGTCATAGAGCAATGGGCCGTGCCGCTGGGAGCACACTGCTGAAGAGGCCCCATGACCTGCACAGCGCTGAGGGCCAGGTGCGGGTCCAGCTCTTATCCCAGATCTCCGGGTAAGGAGAGCTTGAGTGGGTTGCCCCCCATTTAAATAAAATCACAGGGTTGGAGGAATATCTGTGTGTCTCACCACTGCTTACATATTTTTAAAAGAGGCTAAAATAAAGAAGCACTCACATTTTAATTTTATAGTATTTGTTTAAAAAATCTTTTTCTTAGCTGAGCATGGTGGCTCGTGCCTGTAATTCTAGGATTCTGGGAGACTGAGGTAGGTGAATCGCCTAAGCTCAGGGGTTTAAGACCAGCCTGAGCAAGAGTGAGACCTTGTCTTTACTAAACATAGAAAAATTAGCTGGGCATTGTAGCGGGTGCCTGTAATCCCAGCTACTGGGGAGGTTGAGGCAAGGGCATCAACTAAGCCCAAGAGTTTCAGCACTCCACCCAGGGTGACAGAGTAAGAGGCTGTCTCAATAAATAAATAAGTAAATAAAATATTTTTCTTTAAGCCACATGGTCAGTTTCTGAATACCTGGATTGGCATTACTGCTAATATCCTAGGATAACTATTGATAATTATTTTTTTAAACTATCTGAAAGCACATAGCAGGCTCTGCGCCCATAGCTCCGTCATTAGGGCACCAGCCACATGCATGGGGCTGGTGGATTTGAACCCGGCTGGGGCTTGCTAAGCAACAATGACAACTACAACAAAAAGAATAGCCAGGCGTGGTGGCAGGCGTCTGTAGTCCCAGCTACTTGGAAGGCTGAGACAAGAAAATCACTTAAGCCCAAGACTTTGAGGTTGCTGTGTGCTGGAATGCCACAGCACTCTACTGAGGGCGACACAGTGAGACTCTGTCTCAAGAAAGAAAAAAAAAAGCACATAGCAGGATCACAGTATTACTCCAGAAGATGAAAAGGTATCACCTGCATATTCTTGAAGGATAAATGATATTGTTGATTCTAGTTTATCAGCAGTTAAACTAGAAAAATATTGATGATGAGTAATGATGCAGAATGATACCATATTGTTATTATGCTGAAATGTTTGAGTATTTATAAAATGTCCTGGGACCAAAGTAAAATCAATTTAAATTCCAGAAGTAAGAAATAGTTTAGGTTCACTCTTTTAAAAAAAGTTCACTCTCTAAAAAGCTTTAGTCTTCAGGTTTTTTAATAAATTCAGTTTAGTCTGTAGAAGTCTATTCTCTTGTTCTTTCTCTAAAGTTTTCTAAACATATAATGAAAACTAGTTCTTTCATGACAATATAAATGTAACATAAAACCCATACAGTACCTATAAAATCTTTTCTACTTTGATATAAAAGACTTCATTTGATGGTTGCATATTGGCTAGTAAAATGAGTAACAT